TGTGCTTAGTCAATATTTTGTTTTAAGTCTATGCGTTTAACTTATTCCTATTTCATTAAGCACACAATGTATAAAAATTAATTTTTAATATAGACAGTCACCGTTTTCTAGCTAACCATAAAGAAAAAATAATCAATCCTATTCTAAGGTTTAATTTTATCCATAAATGCGTATCCGGAAAATTGCCCGAAAACAAATGGCCGAAGGAAAATGGATCGAAAGCAAATCACCGAAACGAAGATTGCCCCAAAAAAAAACAATATTTTCTTCAATATGTTTGGTTTTGTTTGGATTTTACAAAAAATAGAGATTTCGGGGAATTCTTATTTCTGTCAATTGCACTTAGGTGATAATTCTTTTCGGGCAACTATGTTTTCGGGTAATTTTATTTTTGGGCAATTTTCCTAGATCCCCATAAATGTACTAGTAAAATATATATAAGTTTTAAGTTTGGCTGACGTTTGAGCAAAAAATGTAAATGTAAAGAAATATTGTGTATATCTTTGAGAATAACTTCGGTTGATGTTGAATTCGTTTTAAGAAGCTTTGAGCGAAGGGGTGGGGAGATATAGAGAGATTGGTCACTGTCGCAAAAGATAAAGTAGTAGTTAAAAATACAAACACATGAAATTGTTTAGAATAGACATGATGTGTGTTTGTTGTGACAAAGCCTTGTGCATTTTTAAAATCATTAATATGAATAGTAGAGAAATACAGAGAAGTAGAGTAATATACAGGACGATTCAGTGCTGCGAAAAATTTCCATAACATTTTTTAATATTTCAGAATTTCACTTCAAACTGACAAGAATATAGCGGCTAATGTAGTGCACATCTTAAAAAAAGTACAAAAATACACTTAAAAGAAGGAAATTTACAACAGTGTTAATCAAAATTAAATATAAGAAATAAAAACCAATGTCAAACCACTATAATTTGTTTATTAGTGAGCGGTTTCGGCTATTCAATCATCATCAGACCTTTATCAAATTGGTGTTCGTTTGACTAATGCTATTTATACATTAATATCGATTAATGTATAGATCAATAATAATATAGAAAAAGTATAGGGCCTGTCGCTCGAACGGATTCCGTTCGGTTTAGCGAGCGCGCCTAACTTGAAATGTATGCTTTTATTTCGACCGGAATTTCTTCCGTTCTATTCGTGTTGTTACGTTTCCAACAAGTGAGCGCCAAGCTTAACTCAAACGAGCATCGATTGGTCAAAGGTTTGGTGTTGGCTGAATAGCCGAAACCGGTCACTCATAAACAAATTATAGTGGTGTGGCATTCGTTTTTATCTTTGATTTAGATACCACTACTACTACATACTCTCTTATCATGAGATACCACTTTGAGAACAGTAACCTATTTAACAGTATTAATGTCAAATAGGTACTAAGTGGCTCAAACTATTTTAAGTGTTTATTAGTTCTGTTTATAATGCAACGGAAGGTAGATGTCGAATTAATTATTTTAAATCAAACATTTTATCCGGATACGTATCTTTATTAAAATTTAATCCACCAGTATTTCAAAGTTCTAAGTTTGGTTATATCAATCAAAGATATTCTCGAAGACAGTGTATGCAGTATGTCCCCAGATCGTCTTTAGAAGAGGAAAATATTTTTGTTAGCATTTTAAGAAAAATGCATTTTTTCATGGTAAATCATTTCATTTGCATTCCTTGATAGATGGTTATTATTAATTTTGATTAACGTCATATTTATTGCTGTATTAAAATCTTAAGAGGCACAAAATTTATTTAGTTTAATTTTACGGAAAGACTGATACTAGTTATAGGAGCGATGTGTTAACAGCAGAAAACATATGACGTTAATCAAAATTAATAATAATCGTGTGTCTAAAAAATATACCATCTATCCTTAGATCTTATAAACTTTGTTGATAAAGCTATGCCATAAGTTTATTATACACAACTTTGTTTCTGTGACTAGCATGCATTATCCTACTTATTTCTTTCTAGAACAAGATAATCGTATAAGCCTATCCTTCTCTCGGTCAATATTGGCTGTGAATGTCAACTTGGAGCGGTTTTTCGCTGCGTTGGCAAATTACTTAAAGTATGGACCATTAAAAATAGTTAATCAAGATATAACTGATATGTGTAATAATTATTTTGAAAAAAAATATAATTGTTATTTTATTTGAATATACTTTTTATATTAAATAAAAACAATATAATTTAATAATTAATTAATGTCATGTATTACGTCACTGCATAGAGAAGGGAAATAAATTTAGATTGGAATCCTCGGCTTCCCGCCAAAACTTATAATTGTTTTGTACCGGGTATGCTGTAGGGCGCTGATAGCGGTTACTAAGAACAACCGTTGACAAAAACAGAAAGTATTTTTTCTTGTCAAAGGTTTCAAACATTAAAAAATTTTCAAAAATTTAAACTGCTCTTGTTGAAATAATACCAAAAAGTGTTTAAAGCGTTTTTTTTTCAAAGTTATTGCGATCTTGTGAGTTTAATTTAAATTTTATTTACATAAACCCGTGATAATTTTGGAAAAGTATGAAAAACTTTAAAACTCCTATGTGAAGTGCAAAAAACCATTGCGGTATAAAAGATTGATTTCCAAAAAGTGATCTACATATTTTCCAATCTTGAATTAATGTTGTTAAACCTGGGAATATGAGTTTTTAACTATGACCCAACATTATAGGTTTTACGGTAATTATTTTTCTAATTCACACTACTGCCTGATTTCATATACGTTCTTATATTAAAAAAAGTTCTTTGTATGTAACACACTGGTTTCTATTTATGAAATAAAAGAAAGTAATAATAAATTTGAATAAAAAATATTTGGCAACATAATTCTGGAAAAAGTCGAATAGCTCCGAAATTATCAAAAGCTTTCGATCGCGTCCGCTGCAACAACAGAGCCAAAATAGTATTTACATTATCCTTATGGGCACTTTCCAATCTAAACTTGTTTCATTTATTTATGGTATATTGTTTAGCCCGTGGTGTTAAGAGTTCGTTTGGATTTCTGACGATATTATAGATTCGTGTTCTTTTTGCAAGTTTATTTTTGTAGTGTATTTAGTGGATAAATAGACATTAGCTTTTTTTCGTTTTCCTGTTATTACCGATTTTGAACCGTCCTAAAACTGTGATGCGTATGCGCAGAAGGAAATATGAAGACATTATTTCATTTGCGCATGCGCTGCAGAGTTCTAGGACGAATCGGTAATAACAGGAAAACGAAAAAAGCTAAAATGGCTAATAAATGTATAATATGTGGACCTGTCCGGAATAGGAAAACATTATTAGGTAATTTACCTCTGAAAATGTTTTCTTTTATACTTAGGTATATCAAATAAACTTTTAGTCATGCGATTTAGCTTGACCGGCACAGCGATGTGGACTTTTACCTATTTTTCTTCAATCAAAATATTTCAGGAAACAAAAATGAATTAATTATAAACATGTAAACATTTATTATTTACATCAACAAAACTCATCTCCTTAATAGCACTTGAGGTACATAAAGGCCATTATTATCGCATTCCCGTTCGAAATAATCTAAGTGCGTGGCGCTAAAAAGTGATTCTAAACAGAACAATTTTCGATTACAAGGTTTGCTAATAAAATATTTTAAGCTTAAAATATCACAACACAATTCACTTACACCAAAAACCCATAATAAGACTAAACTGCCAAAATGAATCAAAATATCCAAATACATTTAGAATGTATTTGCAAAATATCAGTAAATAAATATGACATTTTTTGCAGCACAGTTAAATTCCATTTAGTCAGCCCGGCCGTGGCGCCGAATATATCCATGGTTGTCAAGAACGAATAAAACAATCGCGCCCTCGACGTAACTAAAAGTTTATTTGGTACCAGATAGTTATATAAAATAATTAATATACTAGTAAATATTACCCAAATAAATACTTAATATCCGAATAACTATTATTTTTTCTTATTATATTTCTATATTTTCAATTTTTGTTATCAAGATTCCCGGGCTAAATTTTTAATTTATTTCGAATAATTGACATACACAAAATACAGACTGTATCAAGACAATAACAATCAGATAGTAGATTGTCACTGATGTGGCTTGAACAAATATGAAGCAAATTTACTTATCCACGAAGTTTATAAGATCTAAGCATATATCAAAGAATGAAAACGAAATTATTTACCATAACGAAATTATATTACCATAGAAACGCATTTTGATTTTTAGGACTAGGAAAATTTAACTATATTTTCATATATTTTTTATTTTTATCTAAAACGGCATGGAAATTTGTATAAATGTAGATTAAGTAGTACTAATGTAGTTAGTAGTAGTGTATAAATGTAAAGTACAAATGGGATTAACCAAATGGTTAATTTTTAAAATGTTTAAATATATTTTAGGGATTTTATATACGTTCTTATAAAATAAAGTTTTTTTGTGTGTAACACACTTGTTTCCCTTTATGAAATAAAAGAAAGTAATAATAAATTTGAATAAAAAATCTTTGCCAACACAGTTCTGGGAAAAGTCGAATCGCTCCGAAATTATCAAAAGCTTTTTTATATTTTAAAATTATAAAAATTTGATCAAAATGGCATTTTCTCAAAACGCTAATAATGAAATTTGTTAATTGTCTTGTAAAGAGATCCGGGGATATACTGTATGTCCCTTTATACAGTTGATCCTCAAGGATCAATGGGGAGTTTATAAAATATATATACATTCATACATCACAGCCACTAAAACATTCTTGAAATGTTTCATTTTTTAAAAAAAACTTGTTAAAATATCTTGTCATGTTGCTATCATCCATCTTTTAGTAATATTCTTTGAAATAATTTGTGGTCCATTGTTTTATATCTATTTTCTTTAAATAGAACCACGTAATGGAAATAATTTAACTGTTTATTTTGTAAATATATTATTTTTTACAATGATAAGACTATAACAGCGCTTTCAGATGGAGTGGAGCGTCCGCGACTTCGAGCAAGTACCATGAGTTTATATGAACAATTTCACATGGTCGCGTATGCTCCGTCCGACGGAGTTGGTCCAAGGGCTATCTTGAAAAAACATCACGGACCGGACGGTCCGCTCCATCTGAAAGCGCTGTAATAAGTGCAACCTCTTTAATCAGAATACCTAATTGTAACAACCTATTCCGATTAACACATCGTTCCGATTAAGCAATATATACATTAAAAATAGCGCCAAACTGTTTTCTACAAATATAAAATACTCTCTTGTAAAAATAATAAAAATCAAAAGTAAACGTCCAACTTTTGTACAGAGAAAAATACACGTCATTGTTTTGGACTGATATTTAGTTGAAGAATTTTTAAAAAATCTTGTAATTCCCTGTTTATGTTCTTGTGTAATGCACCTTGCCTACGAAGCTCTTTTAGTAAAAAATATGATACTTCGGAATCATATACTGTGATGCCCTTGGTTTACCCCCCTAAAGGTTTAGACATTATTTATTGAGCTGTTGTTCATTGTTTAGACATTGTTATTGAACGTTATTTTTTTTATTAAACCTTTGAAGGCATCCTTGAGCACTTGGAATACACGAAAATCTCCATTTTACGAATAATTTTTGACATGCTTTAGCTTTTTAATTTACAACGTTAAAATGTTTTCGTTTTAATGAAAGTACTGATTCACGAATCAACTGATTTACACATTCAAATTGAAAAACTTGTTACTCAAAGAGGGATGAAAGTGAAAGACGTGCAAGAAGACACCGTGCTACGTAAATGACGTCTTTTAACAAAGTCTTTAGAGTAACGTTCCTATTATAGAGGTATCGTTCCGACTGCGACTATTACATCACAATTGGGATGTTCCGATTATTGAATATCCCGATTAACGTGTGTTCCAATTAAAGAGGTTAGACTGTATTTGTAAAAATATCGAAATAAATTTATGAAATGTAAAGAATATTAGAAATATAAAATTTTATCAGCACTCGAGAGTCTAATTTGGATAGGAGAAAATTAGTTAACTTGTAAAAATTTAATTATAAGGGAAGAAAATTAAATGTTTAAAATTGTTTCCTTTGGGAATAAAGTAATATACAGACAGTGGCGTGCAGTGCAAATCAAGTAGGGCAGGCAAAAATTGGTAAAATAATAAAATAAGAATGGCATTAGTAATTCATTAAGTAATCAATCTAATAATTATTTTTTACACTAAATTAGGGAAAACAATTAAGATTTGGCAACACTGCGCAGGACAACGGTCAACGCCGACGAAATTAAATCACGCGATACTTCCTTATTCTATATCTTACCTACACATTGGCCTTCTGGAGGATTCGCAAAGAGGCAGCCTTGAATATCCCATTAAAGACAATATAAAGTAAATCAATCCGCCTCCCCTTACGCGAATTAAGCGTTATCGACAGTAGTCGAAAATGATTTAAATCTTATTTGGTATCTTAGTTATTCACAGACAAAATCTCTAGAATAGAAAGTAAGATTAAGATTAGTACTGAGTTATAATGTAATGATATGAAAAAAAAAGTTTTATAATTTTGTCTGTGGTAGGTAACGCCTTTTTTGCCTACACTATATGCACGCCACTGTATACAGAAGGTATTTAGTTATAAGAATATAAATTTCAGTTCTTGAATTCTAGTAATATTAAAATTTGATTTGTTATCACTATAGCACCAATTAAGGTAGATTAAAATCAGTTCTTTCTGCTTTTTAAGGTAATCTCGTTTTGCCTCAATATCTTTAAAATATCTATTCAATTTCATTTAGCACCATATTTTCGACAGGTTTAGATATTTGATACCTTAAAACAGGTTTTCTTCAAAAGGAAGAAAATTATATATTTTTTTAAATATACGTCCATCGCAGTAATATCAGTAATAACTAAAATGTCTAGTTTTTAAGGTTCCTGTTTTTAATTTGTATTCAAAATCCATGCTGTTCCTCTTTGATTGGTTCTGGTTTAAAAGCCATTCTGTAAGGTTCTTCTAATTCGCCCATGTCCCTCATTATTAAAACACTAGATGTCGCTGCAATGAAAACTAAGAATTATTAAAAAATAATGAGTAAACTGAGTAACTCAGTTACTGTTTAATAGAGCTCTCAACTACAATGTAGCAATTTCTTTTTGAGAATTTTTTAAAAATTGTACTTAAATGTACCATATGATCGAAAAAAAAAGGGCGTCAGCGATGGCTATGAAATGAAGATTGCTGTCATTGTATATATAAAATTGTATGGGAAATGTTACCGATCGTCATTTTCGAGCCATCTGGACGCCGTTTTTTTTCTCGATCATACGGTATATGTACGTTGAACATTTTTATCCAGAAATATCTTTGTGATGACCAATATCCAGTGCTACTAATTTGTAAAGCCTTTTTGTGCAAAGGATGTTGTTTTGTTAATTTTAACTGATTAAACTGTCCTGATGGGAACATATTTTAAAGCTTAACCAATTGAAAAGTAGTTTTATTAGTCTATGTAGTGATTATTGACTGCATCCTCACCTCACTATTTTTAGGAGTTTTTCTCAACTTAGTCGGTCACGACTAACCCTCGATCCTGTTTTATATACTGGGTGGTGCATGTTCTTTGGAAACATAGGAAATCCCATGCCAATTTTGAACTCTTGAAATATTGGCTCTCCTATTGATTTTACAGCGAAGTCGTAGTAGATTTCTTAAAGGTTTATGTATGATAAATATACATGCCAAATTTGAGCAATTTTGAACCAGCCGATTTTGAGTAATTTAAGAAAGATTGCATCTATTTTTATATTAAAACCAAACAGGTAACAATCAAACACTAGTTAAAAACCGACATAACATGTCATACTTATGTTTACAAATTATGATTTTGTCATTGTCAAAAGTAATTTCATTTTAATATTCAGGGAAATTTAACCGTCAGATACACTCATAGATAAATGCAACAAGTTTAGATTGGAAAGCCCGTAAAAAATTTAGATCTGGCGCTGCTATAGCGGTCGCTAAGAACAACGGTCAAACAAAAACAGAACTAATTTTCTCTTGTCAAAGTCAGAATCTTCAAAAATCATAATAATCTTTCAAAATCTAAACCGCTCTCATTAAAGAAATTCCGAAAAGTGTTTATAGCGTCCATTTTCAAAGTAATTATTGCTATCTTGTGAGTTAAATTCAAGTTTTATTTACTCCAATCGGTGATAATTGTGAAAAAGTGGTATTAAAAACTTAAAAAGCTGTGCTGTGAACTGTGAACTGCAAAAACCATCGTGGATCGTGGCATAACGTCCAATGTTTCATAGGTATTTCATACATGCGTCCTTATATAAAATAAAGTTTCTTGTATGCAACACACTGTATTTTATTTATAAAATTAAACGAAAATAATAATAGATTTGAATAAACAATATTTGGCGATATAATTCCGGAAAAAGCCGAACCGCTCCGAAATTTTCAAAAGTTTTGGGTCGCGACCGTTGCAAGAATAGCGCCAAATAGTGTTTACATTGTCCTTATGGGCACTTTCCAATCTAAACTTATTTCATTTATCTATGGATACACTAGCTTTTTTCGTTTTCCTGTTATTACCGATTCTGAACCATCCTAGAATTGTGATGCGTATGCGCAGAAGGAAATATGAAGACATTATTTCATTTGCGCATGCGCTGGAGAGTTCTAGGACGATTCAGAATCGATAATAACAGGAAACCTGTCTAAGCTATTTCGAAAAAAAACGAACAGGCCTACTGTCTAAGCTATTTCCCGCGTAGTACAATTATTTTATCATGCTCACTTTTTCTTTAAGTGTATAACAATAAATCATTATTAGCAATAAATATTAAAATTAATTTACGTTTGAAAATGACGTTGACAACTTAAGGTATGTCGGTTTTTGACTGGTGTTTGATTGTACCTGTTCAGTTTTAGTAAAGTAGTTTTTCTCAAATTACTCAAAATCGGCTTGTCCAAAATTGTTAAAATCTGGCATGTTTGTTTACCAAACGTAGACCTTTGAAAAATTTATTTACGACTTTGCTATAAAATCAATAGCCTATATTTGAACAGTTCAAAATTTACATGGGATTTCCTAAGTTTCCAACCACGATGCACCACCCGGTATATACCTATATACATGCTTCATACATTGCTTATACAGGGTGTCCCAGGCTGAGCGTGCATTAGAAGTTTCTGGAGAACTACAACATCTAGCTCGGAGATTTTTTGCACATCATAGTTTCACAACGGGATCTATCGATTAAAAATATTTTCAATATGGCGGCACTTCCGGAAATACCGGAAGTTGACAGCAAATTTCTTATGTTAAATGGGTGCCCCCATTTTTTATTACATACTTAAATTCTCTGTAAAATTTTATGAATTTTGATATTAAACACTATCTAACATTGACCGTTTTTGAGAAAAAAATATTTAAAATTTTTAAATGAAGAAAACTGCCTGTCAAAAATATGTGTATAGCCTGAAAGTCAAATTTAGTGATTACCACAGCCACTGTGCCATAAAGAGAAAACATGTGGCTATCTATTTCAAAAATTAAATTGATCGAATGTCATATAATAATGGCCGCAGCTGTCATAGAATTTAGCGATTTAAAAATTATCATAAGTCATTTTTTTCAAATGGAAACCCACTTTTTTTATTTCACTAGTGAAAAAGCTTTTCGTTACTTTTTGACTATACATGTTCCTATACGTAAAATAAATCGTTTAGTTTTGAAACGTATATTTTCCTTGATTTTAACCAGTAGCCTATGACTTTAAACGGCAAGTGATGTAAAACAATAGAACTGGCTATTTCATATTGTGACGCTTTGTTCAAAAAGCAGTATCATTTCCGAGTCAACTTTGCGCTGTTTTTTTTTTCGATCGTACGGAATATTATAGATAATATCAACTATTAGATATCACTAAAGACAAAGAGCGAAAATACGAGATATATTTTTATAAATACAGGCAGTATTTATAATATAGGAAATTTAAATAATTCGTTTTCTAACAGATGTTGTGACAGATTTCTGACACTTAATGTCAAAGGATAATAATGTCAAGCTAGATAAAATCAAGAAAAAAAGTGGGTTTCCATTTGAAAAAAAAATATTTATGATAATTTTTTAATCGCCCAATTCCATGACAGCTACCGCCATTATTATATAACATTTAAATAATTTAATTTTTGAAATAGATAGCCACATGACTTCTCTTTATGTCATAGTGGCTGTGATAATCACTAAGTTTGACTTTTAGATTTATTTAAAAATATATTAGGCTATACAATTTTTTTTGACAGGTAATTTTTTTCATCCAAAAATTTTAAATATTTTTTTTCTCAAAAACAGTTAATGGTAGGTATAGAGTGTTTAACATCAGTATTCATAGAAACTACAGATAATTTAAGTATGTAATAAAAAATGGGGGCACCCATTGAAAATAAGAAGGTTGCTGTCAACTTCCGGTATTTCCGGAATTGCCGCCATATTGAAAATATTTTTAATCGATAGATCTCATTGTAAAACAATGATGTGCAAAAAATCTCCGATCTAGATATTGTGGTTCTCTAGAAACTTCTAATGCACGCTCAGTCTGGGACACCCTGTATTCTGCCTGGGACACCCTGTATTCTGACATAATGCCTTTCCAGATTTATACACATTGCATAAAACCAATTAAAGTTTTCATAACTATTAGCATTTATTCAATTCAGCGTAAAATCAAAACCAGCAAGGTAATTAATGTATGATAACTCACAGTAAGCAAAGAATAAAGTACCTGTAGCTAGGGGACTTGCCACGCCTCCTCCATTGATCAACTCGTCAGCAGGACTGCTAGGGGTGGTGGTTGGTGACGTCACAGGACTGTCAGTAGAGTCGCTAGTGGCCCCGTGGTACCCGTTCATGGGTTGCGTGGGGGATGTAGGTTCTTGGTTTGGAGGTACAACCAAAGTTGGACTATTATCAATTCCACCTAGAAAAAGATATTATGATAAATAGTGTTATTTTATAACCTCGTTGCTTTTTATACTTTTAGTATTTTGGTGATGTAAAAATTAAGGAATGTCAGGAGGTCCATTATAATATATATTTTTTAAATACCTTGTGGCCCAAGTTCAGAAGTTCTGCCAGTGTTACTACAATATAACTATAAATTTATGAAACGTTCAAACTCTTTTATATGTAACTGAGGTATTTCAAATCAATAGTGGACCGATGAAAACTTTGACCTTGATACTATGTTTTTTCGGTAAAAAAAATATAACCAAAAATTAAAGATTAAATAATGCAACGACTAAAGAATATAAGGACTAATAACACCCGAGACCAAATTGTTACCATACTTCCACACAGTGCAGTGGCACATATTTTTCTTAACATAGCTGCTTGAAGAGATATTTATTTTTTATTGATGTTTTGACTATGCCTTGCCTATAGTGTATGAGGTGGTGTCATACTAATTAATTACGAAAAAACGTATAAAAATGTTAACAAAAGGTACAAAACTAGTGTCGACGTATAGCACATATCAAGTACATATAATATCAGCAAAATAATTATCGATTTCAAGAAAAAAAGCTAAAAAGGTTGTGTGAGCTGTTTATTTACCTATGAAACGTAACTCCTGGCTCTTTCTTATCGCTGCGGCTTTTACATTTGAAAGCTGAACAACTAATCACCATTATAATAAAGTTTATACAAATTTCACTACACACAAACTTTTAAAAACCGGTAAAATTGTCGCTGACGACTCATTCGTTACTTCCAAAAAAATGGCATCTATATGTACTGCAGCCCGTATAGGGCGTTACATTTCCTCGTATTCTTTAGTCATTGATTAAATGAATAAAATATTTAATTAAACTAGTTTGTTTTAAACGTTGTTCTGATTGGCCGTAAAATAAAATGTGTACTCCCCCTTTTTTTAATTAGCCCAAGAGAAATAAGTAAACATAGTACAGAAATACAACAGGTTAGTACATAAATGTGCTCTCTTTTAAAAGCTAGGTATACCCAAAATCGATTTTGTAGCTGTTCTTTTTTTATTTAACCTGAAGTAGATACTAACTTATTAGCTAACTAAACTACTAAAAATAATATCAGTCATCGTGACTAGTTATGATCAAATAGTAATATGATAAGATAATGTTAAATTATTACAGCATAGACAACCTTATACAAAACATTTTTTTAATTAATTAAAAATAAGTAAATTTTATATATTTATAATAGATATCTCATAAACAGAGTCTTTAAATCAGACAATAGTTTAAGAAAATTAATTGAAAATTGTAAAACTCCAACAATAAATCGAGACTTTATCATTTGAACTGTGGATCCTGTAATAAAACATATCATGTCAGACAGGACAATATTAATTAAATAAATAAAATTTTAACAATATCATTTGAAGATGTAGAAAAGTATCATTAAGATATTAAAAAATCTCCCGGCAAAAGATGGTAAAGATAATTTTTCTGCCTATTTTGACGGGAGATGTTTAATATCTCATCGATACTTATCTACATTGTTGAAAGACGTTGTTAATGGGAACCCGTCCCTGGAAGTCCACCTGATAAATGGTAGGCTCAGAAACCGGTCGTGAGAGTGGAGGTTGGTTTCCTCCTTAACGACAAACAAAATAATTTATCATTTTTACTTTTTTATTTTTTCGAAAATACACTCAGATGCGGAAAAAACGGAACAGAAAATTTTTTCGTCAAGTTTAAAGTGTTTTTTTTTACTTTTAGCCCAATTTTCATGATTTTTTTAGCAAACTGTATATATAACTTTAATTATTCATAAACTCAGTTTTTTTATAAACTTTAGTATTTGGTTATTGGTTGTTTTTACCTTAACTTTAAAACACCCTGTGCAATAATTTCGTGAGCAAATTTTCCTAAAACGTTATTCTTCGATCAGAACCATGTCTCCTGAGCACTAAACAGTCAGATTTGTGAATTTAAAATAAGCTTTTAATTTATTAATTCCTAACATTACAGTTTTCTCATTCTTCAAGGACTCAAGCGAATATTTATAATTTCGGCCATCTTCCACAAGATCAATGATTTTTGCACAATCTTCGACATTAAGAACCATATTGAATCGTACACAACAATAATCACCAAAGCCACTTCGTCATTATGAATAACATCAAAAAGTAACGATAATTGAAAAAATTGCAACATGTTTATGATAGTTCATTTTGCACTAAAAAATTAACCAGGATAATAAATTAATTTAAGATAATTAATTTTGTGTGACCGAAAAATTATGTTTTAAGAAAATTTGCTCACGAAATTATTGCACAGGGTGTTTTAAAGATAGTGTTAAAAACAACTTTTCGATTAATCCTGTATAATAAGTAAAATATTAAAGTTTATAATAAACTGAGTTTACTAATTAACTGGTTAATTAAAATAGATATATTTATATACCGGGTGCGTCTCAAAAGTGGCTCACCCCTATAACTTTTTTATTTTTTCAGATTAAAAACGAGATTTGGTATCTTAGTATATGACATAAATTAGGATTGATTGGTGTATTCAACTGTTTTTGGTCACTTCCTGTTTCACCGGAAATGACTACAACTTTTGATTTTTAAACGGGACCCTCGGTATTTTTTTACTTTATTCGATAGAAAATGACATTCTGAATAGAATGACATATCGTATGTCAACTTTTGATATTCTCGCTTAATAAAAAATGGTATTTTAAAATTCAATCTAGAGTGCCATGGCTATGTTAAAAACACTAATTCTTCATCAAGGAGCCTTGGAAAAATAGATTTGATCGTCTAATGTTTTTAGTGTCTTATCCTGGCTAGTTAGAAAATGCTCAAATCGTATTTTTAATCATATCTCAATTTTTTCAAATGGAACGACGGTGGCTCATTAGCATATTTGGAAAAAGCATTTTTTTACGAATAATTTCATACCACACACTTGGTATTTCAAATCAAATTTTCGTTACGAACCGCAAATTATAATTTCAAATAAACCATATGCGAAGATGTCAAAAGTTGAAATATGATATGTCATTCTATTCAGAGTGACATTTTCTATCGACTAAAGTAAAAAAATACCGGGGGTGCCATTTAAAAATCAAAAGTTGTCATTTCCGGTGAAACCGGAAGTGACCGAAAACAATTGAATACGTCAATCAATTCTAATTTATGTCATATACTTACATACCAAATCCCGTTTTTTTAACAAAAAACATAAAAAAGTTATAGAGGTGAGCCACTTTTGAGACGCACCCGGTATATATACAGTTTGCCAAAAAATAACAAGAAAATAGGGCTTGAATTAAAAAAATATAACATTTTAAACTTCACCAAAATTTTTTCCGGTTTTTTTTTGTATCTGAGCGTAGAATAAATTATATAAGAATTCCTGCCTTAAACTGCTACTCGTAATATACACACTGTGTTCGTTATAATGGGGAAAACAACCTGCTCTCACAACCAGTTCCGGAGTCCTATTCCCCTACTCCATCATCAGATGAGCTTCGGTTAATTCCACAAGATGACAAACACAGCTCAAAGTATGTTAATCCGAGTTGTCAGAAAAAGCGGTAAGATATTAAGACACGCATGGCGAGACGTACTTTATAATAAAAGGTTTTTTCCGGCTAGCCTAAAATATAAATGGAAAAATATTTCTTGTAGTTATAGGTATACAATATATCCCCGGATTGTCTTTACAAAATGACAAACTTTTTATTATTGGCATTTTGAGAAAAATGCATTCTGAAAAAAATTTTGCTCGTTGTAAAACATTTATTTAATACCGCTTATATTTTTCAAATTTCCATACCGTTTTAGAGTAAATTAGAAAAAAACACGAAAATATGGCTGAATGTCTTAAAAATCAAACAGGGTTTGTATGCTAATATAATTTAGATTCCATTCTTTGAGAGATGGTTATTATTAATTTTGATGTGATTTTGATTTTGGTCAACGTCATATTTTTGCTGCTGTTAAAAAAAAGTATCACGTTTTCCGATAATTATTATCACCCTTTCTATAGCATTGAACTAAATAAATTTTGTGTTTCTTTAACATTTTAAAACAACAAAAAATATTAAAATTCCGTCAATAAAAATCAAATAATGAAAACGAAATTATATTACCAGAGAAACGCGTTTTGATTTTTAGGTCTTGGAAAAAATCCAACCATATTTTCGTGTTTTTTTCTAATTTTCTCAAAAACGGTATGAAAATTTGGAAAAGTATAAACGGGATTAACCATTTTAGAACAAGCAAACATTTTTATAAAGAACGCATTGTGCTCAAAATGTCAATAGTCATAAATAAAAAAGTGTCTCCTCTTGTAAAGACAACCCGGGGACATACATTATTCTTGCTTTGAAGTGCTAAATTGAAATTAATTCTACACTGTGTTCGTCATAATAGGAAACAACCTGCTCTCACTACCGGTTTCGGGGCCCTACCCCATCATCAGGTGAGCTTGGGCTGATTCCACAAAATGACAAACAGCGCAGAGTACGTAAATCCGAGTTGTCGGAAAACAGCGGTAAGATATTAAATGCACCCGCATGACGATTAAATGCATCCGCATTACCGCATGACGAGATAGCGGCCTGCATGCAATGGTCGTACTTTCGTACCACCGAGGTGCAACCATCGGTAGTAAAATAAAAGGCTTTTTTCGGCTAGCCTAAAATATAAACGGAAAACTATTTCTTGCAGTTATAGGTATATAATAAAATTATATAAGTATTCTTGCTTTGAAGTGCTAAATTGAAATTAATTCTACACTGTGTTCGTCATAAAGGGGAACAACCTGCTCTCACTACCGGTTTCGTGGCCGTACCCCATCATCAGGTGAGTTTGGGAAAATGAAATTTGGGGCGTCTATGTTTTGTTAAGCGCTTTAACATTTGACTTTCACAAAAATCAAGAAAATCGTACGGGAAGGGTGAAAATACCTCCAACCCTACATAAATTTTAGTATAAATATAGTCCAACTCCACCCACCACTGTTTTTATTTTATTCGTAAAATGGCCCTCCTAGTATTTACATTTTTCGTCTCTTGTAGAACCATTGTATAGCTTAAAAAAATGGAGAATTTTATTTCCAAAGCAGACCAAATATACAGGGTGTTCCAATATTCCGTGGTCATAAAATAACACGTATCGTTTGTCCGTTAGAGGGCATAGATAAAACATAAACCAGATCATTAATTAATTTAAAATTTATGAAGCTTATTGTCAAATATCATTTGTGATACTAACATAAGATTCTATATTTCGCCAACTAGATTATTAGCGCATAACAGATTTTATGCGCTTTCATTGCATAATGGGGCATGAAACATTTTTTGAAAGACAGATTAGGAAAAAAAATCCGCAAAAAGTATGCACGGTGGCGTTTTTTGCTTAAGACAAAAATTCTAGTAAATACTAGAAGGACAATTTTACGAAAAAAAATATGTCGCTGGAGTTGTAAAATATTTATACCAAAATTTATGTAGGGGTGGGGAGAGTTTTGACCCTTCTCGTACTTTTTCTAGATTTTTTGAAAGTTAAATATTAAAACACTTAAGGAAACATAAGCACAACAAATCTCACTCAAATTGGAATAGCGGTGCTTAAAATATATGTTTGTTTAAAATGTGTTTATTTTTTAAAGTTTGATGTCCTCTAGTGGAAAAACGAAACATTTTGTGTAGAGGTAAATTGTACCGAATGAATTTATTTTGCTTCCAAAAATACGCAGCAGTCCAGGAAATATTGGGACAACCTGTGTATATACACAGGGTGTCTCAATGTGGGTCACCCTGTAAAAACGCGTATTTTAAAACTATTTTGGCCAACATACAGGGTGATTCAAACAAAATTTCAAACTAAATTTATATATTTTTAAATGGAATACTATACTAAGGGTCGGCATTTCTGCAGTCTTGGGTGGCGATTTACATGTGTACGAAGAGTATGGTCAACACGCTTGGTAAAATAAAATGTACTGAATAAAGACAGAAGGCGAATATTTTCCCAAGCGCATGGAATCTAGCGTCAGATTAAGTAGTTATGTAATAAATACTTCGTATTTTTTCTCACTCCGACTTACTAGATTGCCATAACGACTCACTCCTATACATGTAAACGCCGACCTAAAGGTTCGCTTGCCAGCGGGGTATATATTTTTAGCTTTATGGATTTAGGTACCATTAAATTTCCATTCTAAAAATACTATGTCATATACTATACCGAGGGTTTTTTAAAATATAACCGTTTTTAATCTAAATTTACTGCTTATCCAAACCCCTCTCAAAATGCTAAATTCCAATAAAAATTAAATTTTAAAATTTTTCAATAGGATGTATGTACTGTATAATAGTATATGTATATTATGTAAAAAATTGAAATGAAAATCACAAGCCAAAAACCTAATATAGAGCTTTTTCGGAAGCCTGTGTCATCCTATATGTATATATTTACAGGGTGAGTTTTCTACAATGTTCTCTATGCTTATCTTATAAACTACTTGAGCTAGAGAGTCGGTCAAATCGGTAAAGAATTACACTTTTGCCAAGCCAAATATATGCGTCTTTTGAATTTTTGAAAAAGAAAGCGATATTTCGAAAAAAAATTGGATATTTTAAAAATGCCCCTTTATTCCATTATAATCTATTTTAGACAAAAAGTTTTCAGATAAAAATTATAGATAACATTTCGCTAATAAGATTGTGTTGTCCGTTTTTTTTAAACCTATCAATTTCGACATATATGACACATACTTTTTTTTAAATGGAAACCATAGGTGGCCATGACTTCATAAAAAGCGCCATTTTTAAAACTTTTCAGCGATATAAACTATTTTTTTTTCGAAAAATTAATGAATTATCGCTGATCTTATCTTTTTTTAAACAATTTCACTTAGTTAGCCTATCAGAGATGTCTAACTGTCACATCCATACAAAAATATTTTATCGAGAAGCAACTAAATTGTAAATATGTGCATTTTTCGAATGAAGTAAAGCGTGTAGATTATTGGTTCAACTCTTCTTGGACCATATCTTTTCGAGGATACCTTAACCGGTGAACGTAATTACGCTTTTTAGAGAACGGTTTTCGGGACATGTTAGAAAATTTAAATTTAGCGACTCGCGCATAAATAAAGTCGTTCCATCATGACTTTCATTATATCATATATTCATATTAGAAATGTTAAAAATTATTTAGATCATAATTATGCAAACTCATGAATAGGAAGACGTGGACCAATTGCATGGGCCTCCTTGGTTACCTGACTTATCCGTTTTAGATATTTTTATCTGGTATGGTTAAAAACAAGATTTTCAAGAGAACTTATGAATCAAGGGGAGCACTCGGGGGTAAGAAGCTGTAGGGGATGTTTAATAATCTCGACCGGTCGTTCTGCGAGAAAAGCCTGTAATTCAGTTTTTAAAAGATGCACTTTACACTCAAAACAATGGCGGACTTTTTGAACATTTGTTAAAATAACTTAAAATGTGTGTAGTGATATTAGTTTTTTACAAGGAAGGTAATGTGGCTAGCACTACGCTTCAACCGCCTATTATTACCTCAGGATTGTGAATCCCAAGTACTCATTTAAGGCTGAGTCGACCTAGGTAGTACCTAGGTAGGTCGGGTACCTAGTAGGTACCCAAACTATTTTTATTTTAATAAAAATAGTCGGCTGATGAAATGCCGGGTGAGGGAATCGAACCCCCACCTTGAGATTGGTAGACGAGAGCCTGTATCTCTACGCCACCGGGCACCTTCTTTTTCTGTTTATTATTATCTAAAACTTTTGTCTAAAATAGATTAAATGGAATTAAGGAGCATTTTTAAAATAGCCGATTTTTTTTCGAAATAAATAAAAAGTAAGCCATAAACAATTTAAAAAATCCGAAAGGTGGATATATTGCACCTCAATCAACGCACTCACACCTCAAAACTACAATTCTTTCCCCATTTGATCAACTCTCTAGCTCCAGTAGATATAAAAGGTGAAAACAGACAGAGAATTTTTTCACCCTTTATTTATATTTATTAAAGCCGCCTGACAAATGCTTCCATCTACTACTTCCTTACTGGCGCATTAGATCTGTGTCTAATAACTTAATAAATCGTCAGTTTATATAGTCAGTTATTTGTTTGTTTGCCGTTTTGGGAAAGTCAGCCCGGAGAGCTCGTCTGATAATGGTGTAGACGTAGGCCCCGAAACCGGTAACGAGTGTGGTTGATGTCCCCATAACAGCAAGCAGACATAATATTTTTTGTTATTTTCAGTCTTTCATGATTTTTTAAAACTGAAGATTACAAAAATATCAATATATGGCGAGAACTATTTTATTTAATAACACCAAAATATATATACTTGAAAGCAAAATAATAAAACAATAAAATATAAAGGAAAATTAAAAGAAAAAAAAATAAATATCTACGATATATATTATCTAAAATATATAATTGACAATATAACAACCAATAAAATCTAAATAAAAATACAAACAATAAACAACCATTTGGAGTACGGAATGGGAGTATAAATACGTAGGTATATTTAGTCAGGCAATAGAGGTTTACCTCCTAAGAGCATTTCCTGGAGTAGATTGTCGATATGGGCCACGCCGAACAGTTTGGCGAATTGGATTTGCTCGATCATTTGCCACGTGATCGATTGGAGAGGGGGCAAGGTGAGGAGGAGCTCGCCGAAACGTCCTCTGCTGTCGTACTGTCTGTCGCTGATGTAGTCCTCCAGGTTGATCTGGATTTGGTAGCGCAGCTGTTTGATCCTCGCCGGTTCGCTTAGGCCCTTTGCGTCTAGAAAAATGAATGTGGCTCTTAATTTTCGACTGATATTGAAAAAATTAAGCATATGTAGAAACATACATATATATGTAAAAATATAGTGTGCCCGCAAGAAATCTGCATTAATTCGGATTTTTTATTATTATGAATATATGTAGGTAAAATTAAGTGACGCTGGACGCAGTTAATTTTTGCCTGTCTAAAAAACATAAGTAGAGGATGTCCAACTAAGAATAGCTCTCGGCTGTATGTCGGAAAGTATTAGCTGTAGGGCAAACGGAAAAAAATATTTATAACTAAAGGGGCAATGAGAAATTGCTGGAAATTATTTTCAAGTTCTAGAACGGCCGCTAGAGGGCGCAACGGCGATGGAAAATAAGAAAATACAATTTTTACAAAATTTTGCCTAGGGTTAGTGTTGCTATAAATAATAGCTTCATAGTCTTCAGTAAATTTTGGATTTTCTGAAGTGCGGTTTTCGCTGACTTTTTAAGCTTTTATTACTCTACTTTATAAAATTACATTATATAATCGCATTTAATTTTTTTGAAAAAACACGTAATGTTTGTTAATTTGTAAGACAGCGCCACCTAGCGTCTACGTTTAAAAGCTTATTTTCATTGTTTATGTTGTATAATATAGAGTAAGATAAACAATAACAGTTTAGCAGTCGTACGAGAAGGTTGTGTTACCGTTCGTGCGTTTTGTCTGCCGGTTATTGAACGTTTGTTTTGTTTTAATTTGTTTTTGTTCCTGACCCGAAATTAATTCAAAGTTCACTGTTCGTTTAAACTTGACTTTGTTTACTTGTGTTAGTTTTTTGCAACATTAATTGATAATTTTTCGGCATACTTGTTTCCGCTGTGCGTGAGTTTTAGCTTGTTTATACGTCCGCATTTTATTCAGCTGTCATCGATTTTTAATATTATTAATCATTTACATTATTATGGCTGAATTTAAGTGCGATTCTTGTCAAAAAATCCAAAAGGACAGTTATAAGGTTCGCTGTAGTGGAGAGTGTCGAAGAAGTTTTTGTATGACCTGTACAGGACTGGATAAGGCAACAACAAAGGTGCTATGTCAACAAAAGTACCACAATGTTAGATTTTTCTGCACTGTCTGCGATTCCCCTACATTAAAATATGTTCATGATAGAATTACACAGCTTCAAGAATGCTAGGTCCAACCAGAAACCATCGAAGCACTAGGATTCTGTTTAAAAAAATATTGACATTTTTCCAGTCATAACTGAAATGTATGACATGCTGAGTGACCACGATTCCAAGTGGAAAATTTTGCTCAAGAAAATTGACGACATATCCAGGATATCAGATACCACAGAAGAATCCTTATTTAAGTCAATAAATGAGATAAAGCAAGACACCTTCAATTTGTCATCAATTTTAATGGACAACCATGATGGGTCTGTTAAAGTCCAAATTCATGACCCATCTAAGGAAGAAATGGCGAAGGAAATGGCTGACCTTAGGCAGAGCGTTAAACAAATGTCGCTCACATTGGAAAAGCTTGTTAAAAGGGATAAGACCTGTATAAATCATAATATGCAGCGGAAAAAATCCATTTCAACGCAGACGGGCCCTATAGATCACCAAAATAGTACAGCTTTTATAGATTCGCCAAAAAAATAGTTTCACCCGAAATAGTGTCATCGCAACCTCCTAAGGCCGCCATAAGAGAAGACTGGAATTATGTGGTGGTGTACAGAATTCCACCTCCTTACACAGCGAATCAACTTGCGCACTATGTTAAAGAAAAACTCTGGGGTGCAAGGGGTATTGAAGGGGTGTATTGTATTGGGGGTAAAAATACTGGGGTGCAAGGGGTATTGAAGCGATACATACAGCCTAGCTTACCCAAAAGTCAACCTCACCTTCACGTGGTGCACCCTGTTTACACAAACGAGGCTCTGACGTCCGAGTATAGGCGGTATAACCTTATACAACCCTCAGACCTACCATCTTCTGGGGAAAAGGAGTAATAAAATACACCTAGCCGGCCGAGAACGTAGCACAAGGGAACTATCGTCGCAGTCCTCACTGTGCCATAGCCATCCCGTGCTACAGTTGCAGCCAAAACTGTGCGGCAGCGTAACCGCCACAGTTAAACCTTTTCACGCAGCTTACACACAGCAATGATGGAACATTCGAGTGGGACAAAATTATCGTCCGGAGGTAAAATACCCCCTCAATCGGATCTCCGGGAGGGGGTGCCTACTCGAGCGTATCATCGGAGAAACAAAAAACATCAATGTTTCACGTTCGCGGCGTGGAACGTCCGCACTCTACTGGACAAGACAAATTCAAATCGACCAGAGAGAAGAACAGCACTGGTCTCACAGGAACTCCACCGATTAAATATAGATGTTGCCGCTCTAAGCGAAACACGCTTTGCAGATGAAGGTAGTCTCACTGAGGAGCATTACACCTTCTTTTGGAAAGGCCATCCCGCAACACACAGGAGAATTCATGGTGTAGGCATTGCGATCAAAAACGAAATCGCCACCAAGTTAACAGAAGTACCTATTGGTGTCTCCGAACGTCTTATGACCCTAAGGTACCCCATATCAGACAAAACTTACGTCAACATCATTAGTGCCTACGCTCCCACCCTTGACGCTAAAATTGAAGATAAGGATAAATTTTACCAAGCTTTACAAAATGCCCTTCAACGAATTCCAAAGCACGAACGAATCATCTTGCTAGGTGACTTTAATGCCCGTGTACAGGAAATATGGCCTGACGTATTGGGAAAACATGGAATGGGAAACGCAAATAGCAATGGTGAACGCTTATTAACAACATGCGCAGAGTATAATCTTTGCATCACCAATACGTGGTTCATGTTGAAGGACAAGTTTAAAGGTACCTGGAAACATCCTAGATCAGGCCACTGGCATCAATTGGACCACATAATCGTTCGAAGGACGCATCTAAAAGATGTTAGGCTCACAAAAGCTAGAGTAGATGCCGAATGCGGCACTGACCACCGACTTTTAATTTCAAAAATGAAAATCCAGTTAAAACCCAAACATCCACGCAAAACAACATGACCAGATTGAACGTACGGGGTCTAGAAAACAACAATACCGCCGACGCCCTCCGGGAAGCCATCAAAGAATCACTTCCACCGATAACTTCAATCTCAGTATTGGAAGCTGAACAAGGCTGGACACAATTAAGGGATGCGATTCATAAAACCAGCGAAGCAGTACTGGGAAAGTCGAACAAAAAGAAACAACCAGACTGGTTTGACGAAAATCAACCGCATATACAGGCTTTGTTGGAACAAAAGCATAGAGCATATCAAGCCGTCACTGCAAATCCACATAATCCAAGACTGGTAGACAACTTTAAAGCAGCCAACAACGCGCTTCGAAGAGAACTGCGCCAAGTAAAGGATAACTGGTGGTCACAAAAAGCGAATCAGATTCAAGAGTACGCCACGCATCACGATTATCGTAAATTCTTCGAGGCTGTAAAAGAAGTATACGGCCCAACTAAGAAGGTAAGCTGCCCAATCATGGCTCAAAATGGCGAACTCTAAAAGAGGAAGAACAAATTAGAAATCGCTGGAAAGAACATTACAGCCATATCCTTAACCAAGAAAACAACCCCAATATGGAAGCATTAAACACAATACCTCAGTATAACAGCCTCGATGTATTAGACATCCCAATAACAGAACAAGAAATAAAGACCTCCATAAAACAGCTTAAAAACAACAAATCAGCTGGCTGTGACGATATTCCGGCGGAAATCTATAAGTGTGCAAGTAAAGAACTTATTGGTCATCTTAAGGCTCTCTTTGATGTCGTATGGGAAAGCGGAGAGGTACCTCAGGATTTTCGCAATGCGAATATAGTGAATATATTTAAGAACAAAGGAAGTGCATCAGACTGCGGAAATTACCGGGGAATTTCGCTATTGGCTATCGGCGGAAAAATTCTTGCAAAAATAATGTCAAACCGCCTGCACCCACATATAGAAAAATTCTTCCAGAATCGCAAACGGGTTTTCGTACCAACCGCGGCACAGTCGATTCCATATTTTCCATCCGTCAACTACAGGAAAAAGTAAAAGAGCAGCAGTCTAAACTTTATGTTGCATTCATCGATCTAACACTTTCGCCTTCGACTCTGTGAACAGAGATGCGCTTTGGGCAATTATGGAAAAGTTCGGAGTACCCAACAAATTTCTTACAGTGTGTAAAAGCCTCCATAACAACAACAAGTCAAGAGTGTCACATCATGGATCACTGAGCGACCCATTCCTAACAAATACAGGAGTTAGGCAGGGATGTGTCTTAGCGCCTCTCCTATTCAACATATTCATGGCAGCGCTCTCCATTATAGTGGACAGCAAACTGCAGGAGAGAGGATTGGGCATTAGATACAGATATGACGGCGGTCTGTTCAACATAAAAAGACTCAGGGCAAAAACACGTACAAAATTTATCACAGAACTTCAATACGCTGACGACTGCGCTCTAGTTGCAAACACGGTACAACAATTACAAGAAATGTTGAACACATATACCTGGGCATACGAGGCTTTGGGCCTTAAGCTGAACATCGGCAAAACTAAAATCATGTGCACTCCCCCGGAAGATCACAACAATGCTATAAAAATCGGAGAAGAACTATTCGAATATGTGGCGGAATTCAATTACCTTGGCAGTTTGATTTCGGAAAAGGCCAATATTGACTCTGAAATTCAGCACAGGATTAGTAGCGCCTCAAGAGCATTCTGGAAATTAAAAGACAGGGTTTTCTACAATCATGACTTGAGTACAAAAACAAAACTTGCAGTATACCGAGCAATTATAATCCCCACCATGATATATGGGAGCGAAACCTGGGTGCCTTACCGCCGACACATGAACGCATTGAACAAGTTGCAACAGAGACACCTTAGACAACTCTTAAGAGTCCGGTGGTTCCATCATGTCTCAAACGTATCGGTCCTTGAAAAATCTAACTGCGAGAGTATTGAAGTCATGGTCACAAAATCCCGCTTAAGATGGGCTGGTCACGTATGCAGAATGCAAGAAAACCGCATACCAAAATCTCTGCTTTACGGTGAGCTTGTGGACGGTAAGAGGAGGCCGGGTGGACAACTGAAAAGATACAAGGACATTTTCCACGAAAATTTAAAGGGAATTAACATGCAGAATGAGTGGGAAAAAGCAGCTCACAATAGAACTCAATGGAGAAGGGTTGTAAACTCAGTTAACAGCGGCAACCAAAAAGTAGAGAGGCAACAAAGCAATGAGATTTTTGAATGTCCGGAGTGCGGTAGGCAGATAACATCACGTATCGGGCTTTTCAGTCACAGAAAAGCTCATGAAAGAAAACGCCTTGCGTGACCATTTTCTTTATGTGTGTCGAATACTCGTCAGCGAGTAACGGCTGTATGTATGTATGTATGTATGTATGTAAAGAAAAACTAGGAACCACCGATTTCATCAGATGCTTTCTAATGCTGAAAAACAAGGACAGTTCCCATTCCGATTTCAAAATTGGAGTGCAAAAGAGGTGTCACTTAGTGCAGCTTAAGGACAAAAATATGTGGCCGCCGGGAACCATAATAGATTCAACCTCAACTTCCTTAAACCAAGCTTCGCTAACTTCTTCGGCTGAACCTGCTCAAAATCTCAAAATAAACATCATTGAGAACCGCAAGCTACCTCACCTACTTGACCCACCACTGGCAACTATCCCAAGGGAGGTAAGAACTATTAAGATTGGTTCTGAGAGGGAGGCTATAGCTGCTTGCAAGTCCCTGGCGATGGAAAATCCAGAAATTATTGTGCAGGGAAGTACGAAGAGAGATGGTTTGGTAGTTATGGACCCGATGACTCCACCTATAGCACGGCTGTCTCAGGACTCAGATGCGGTAAATGGACGTTACGTGTTGGCCAGGTTGAGGGACCCCTCCATTTTGAAATCTCTTAGGTTATTCCTTGCCTATCTTCACGACCAACCATCCAGTGTGTGTTTTGAAGGACACACTAGTACCAGCATCAAATTGATGCTTGCATCAGAAGGGCTACCTAGTGACCTGGACTCCTTGCGTAAGTTGTACTACCGCTTCCACAACGCCTATGGTATTGGTTCAACTGAAGTTGATGCAGATCTTTCAGCTTTCAGGACATTCTTTTCTGCGGAGAGCCTTCTACGACTTCAAAAGATTAGAGAAAGTCATTGCACATATTATTCCAGTGGCTCCCCAAATTAGAGTAAACATTTTTAGTTGAATTGACGCGAACAGAGGATCAAGCACCCTCTGAAAAGTTAAGCGATAGCAAGCTTGGTCTTTCCTTATTAATATTCAGTCCTTAAGACATAAAACAGATGAATTATATCTTACTAGAAGAACATGAATTTCCAGATATCATTGCCATAATTGAGCACTGGTTAAATTTTGATGAGCCTGTGTTTGTTAAAAATTATACCACAGTGGCTAGATTTAATAGAACAAATTTTTCTCATGGAGGTACTATGATAATGTCTTTAAACAACGACTTTTCCGAGGTAACTAGGTACAATGATTTGTTATCTGAAAAAGTATTCGAATTTTCCATTGTCCACCATAATGCTTATGACCTTTACATTATTTGTATTTATAGAACACCTGACTCTGACGTGCAATTATTCTGTCATAATCTACTAAGCTTGCTTGAGTCCCTGCCCTTAAAAAGCAAATTAATTTTGTGTGGTGATCTTAATATTGACTTTCTTAGTGTATGTGCTGCTCAGGAGTTTCTTCAGTCCATTTTTGATTCTTTTGGAATAGCCATGCATGTAGGCTCACCTACCAGAATATCCAATACCAGTTCTAGTACTATAGACTATGTTGTGTCATCTTTTGATCCTAACTCCATCACCTGCAACGTCTTTAGCTCGGGTCTCTCTAATCATGAAGCAGTTTTAACTGAATTTTCGATAAAGTCCAAAATCAAAAATGCCCCTCGTAAATCATGCCGTATTTTTTCTGAAAAGAATACTCAAAAGTTCAGACACTTATGTAAAATAACCAACTGGGATACTAGCTCTTATGATGCCGACACCGAATTTTCTATTTTCGTAAAAACATTAACCAGTCTAGCGTTTAAATCCTTTCCTCTTAGGCCTATAAAAAATAAGCATAATAAACCTTGGATCACTAAAGGTCTACGCATATCTTCTAAAAACATGCGTTCATTATCTCACTTAAAAAATTCTCAGACAGTCTCTTCTTCCACAAATACGTAAAACTATACAGAAAAATTTATCATAAGACTATAAGTGCCGCTAAGGACCTTTATTATAATAGGAGAATAGTCAATTATGGTAATGTTGCTAAAGAAACATGGTCTATTGTGAATGAATTGAGAAACAAAGCTTTTCTTCGTCTAGCAATATCTCTAACTCACCTGAGAACCTTAACGATTACTTTGTAAATGTAGCGAAAAACTTAACTAATACCATATGTCCTCCTCATGATCCACTTTCTTATCTCTCTAATGATAATGTAAACTTACACAGTTTCTTTTTTTCGCCCGTAGTTTTAGAAGAGCTTTGCAGTACAATTAATACCATCAAAAATAAATCCTCTTCTGGGACCGACGGGCTAACTTTAAAAATGTTTTCGAATCTGCCAGAAAGCACTCTGAATCACCTAACAACTTTAATAAACATGTCGTTCCAAAATGGTATTTTTCCAAAATGTCTTAAGACGGCAATAATCATTCCTCTGCATAAAGGAGGAGACAAAGATGAAGCTTCTAACTATCGCCCAATTGCACTCCTTCATACGCTATCTAAGATCATAGAAAGGTTGGTTAAAAGAAGGCTGGTGTCTTTTCTGTTTAAGTACAAAATACTTAGTAAATATCAATTTGGATTTCTAAGCAACAAGTCCACAAATGACGCTATGTTTTCCCTCCTTAATAAAGTTTACTCCAGCCTAAACAACCATCATTCTGCAGCAACAATTTTCTGTGATTTTTCTAAGGCGTTCGATTGTGTAAATCATAAGATCCTAATTAATAAACTCCAGCACTATGGGTTCAGGGGATCATGTCTCGAATGGTTTAAGTCGTATCTGAGCAACAGAAGTCAACTTGTGAGGGTGGATATCACGTTGTCTTCTAGCAAGCCAATAGAATGTGGAGTACCACAAGGCTCAGTACTAGGCCCTATTTTGTTTCTTCTTTTTATTAACGACATTGCTAACATAAACATTAGTGGCAAAAATATGTTTTTGCGGACGACACTAGCTTCACTTGGAGCAACAAGGACATCACGGCACTTCATAGGATTATATCAAATGACTTAATCACCATTAAATCTTGGTGCGATTCGAACCTCCTGAGTCTCAACATTTCTAAAACTAAAGCTTTGTCGTATAAAAACTCGCTGCAGCCTTTTGTACTTAACAACACCACCATTGACGTCGTAAAATCTGTAAAATTCTTAGGGCTTGTTGTGGACAATTCTCTGAAATGGGACACACATATCGAAGCTTTGTCGAACAAATTGAGCTCTGCCTGTTTTGCATTAAGGTCTGTTTCTAAGGAGCTTAACTTGTCAGTGGTTAGAACTGTTTATTATGCACTTTTTGAGTCGCACCTCAGGTATGCCCTTCCATTCTGGGGTACGTGTTGTGCCACTAAATTTGACCGCATTTTCAAGCTCCAGAAGAGAGCTGTTCGATATTCACTGGGACTAAACAGCAGAACTCATTGCCGGGACTTTTTTAAAGAATTAAAAATATTGACTCTTCCTTATTTATATTTGAATTCGTTTGCCTAATACGTAGACATGGATACATACATTAGCTTTCTCAAGAAAGGCCATCTCACACTTATCCACTCAGGAACGCGGAGCAAGATCTTTATCTACCTACCCCACGCTCAGAGTTAGTTAAAAGTTCAATATTATACAACTCGAAAAAAATGCACAATCACCTGCCATTTGAAATCATGACATCGTTTTTTTTCATTTCGCAAAGCATTGAACTCTTATGTACTAGACAAGGCTTTCTACGCCGTAAATGAATTATATTTTGAAAATCGAATTTGATCTTGTAAACACTGGTCTAATGTTTGCTATTGCTATATTTACTAATGACATCGAAATGAATTTATTTAGAGGTCATTGATATTTTACTATAAACTAGCTAAATATTTTTGAATATTATTTTTATTTTTTTGTTCTTTGACATTGTAAACATTTATAAATGTTTATTTTAACAATAAGACTGACAATATTATTTGTATAATGTTTTGTATTATCTTTTGTTTGTTTATTTGTGTACCTTGTTTTTTTACTTTGTTTGTTAGTTTACCTTTGTCTACAAATTGAAAAATTTTTTGACAATAAAGGCATTTATTTATTTATTTATTTATTATTATTTATATAAGAAACGCTCTTTTAAATGAGCTCTCGTTTGTTCGATTCCGATTATCCAGTCCGAAGTTATTAACATTGAAATAAAAAAAGATCTAACCTTCCCCCACCACTTTATTTTAGCAGATAGGGGAAAATGGTTCTTACAAAAAAAAATACTAAATTTACTGATGATTATGAAGCTATTATTTATAGTACAATTTCAAAATAACTTGTAACGAATGGTAACATTCGCCAGGCTTTATTCTCGGCTTTAGGCGTTATCCTCGGCTTTAGGTCTGCAATAAAATTCCTATATTTTTATTATAGGACCTACAGATGCCCGACGCACTATTGCAGGACCCTGTGTAGTAATTTTCCATAGGGTATTTTCTATTCTGAAGGGAGGAGTAGAGGTGTCAAAGGCACCCCTTCCGGCATTCATCTACACTTTCTGTGTTCTGTGGAATATGTATATTATGCCATTTAACTAAATTTTTGCTAAATTATTCATTTGTTTAGGTATGTACTTACTAGGATCAAAAAACACAATTGCTTTCACACATGCAAATTCAGTATCGTCAATTTGAACATCGGTCATAGGTTTGACTAGTTCGTCTATGATTCGACTTCCTATTCTGGATATGTTAAAATCTGCAGGGCTGCGGTCAGGAGCTGCTGGAAACAAACAAAACCAATTATTTTCAAATGAACATTGTATTTCAAGAAAATATTCTGGATTTTTCGCCACTAGAAGAAAATCTACAAATAAAAAAGTTATTTTTTGTAAACACCACTGGGCGTTGATACAACGGAGACCAATTTGTCAGTGTACCAATTTAGTAGACCAATTTAGTAGCAAAACAAAAAGTCGACAAAAAATGTTTCTCGTTTCAGGAAGTATATCTTCTCAAGTCGCGTGTCGTTAGAAGCAAAAAAAAACAAAGAACAATGAAATGCCATACCTTAAATGGCTGGCTAATACGTAATTTCTTATAGTTTAAATCAATATTCGATTGAACAGAAATTTTAATACTATAACTTAATATATAACATAAACAGACATAGATAACATATGTAATTCTTATGTCTACCAAAATCGATACGATAATATGAGTTGAATTAAGTATATAGTTATCGAGTTTAAAAAGAATAATAATGTTGAAAAAGATATAGCGAAGAAAATGTTGACGTTGAAAGAGTAAAGCTAGAATTTTATTGCTGCAACATTGCCAAAACTTCGCAAAGCAAGGTGTAACATTGCTTTTTTCATTGTAGGGAGGTATATGCAAGGACGCAGGGTAGCTCGATCTTCCGCCCAAAAACATTGCAGTGCAAGGTTAAAAAAGAAATGTTGATGCAAGGTTATTTGAGATGTTTTAGCAATATTGTTAATTTTACGTCAATACAAATTAGTAAAAATATGTTGTATCTATATTTCAAAACTTATTACCCATTAAACTTTCTAGTTCGTTATAACTTATTAACTGACTTATTGCTAAAATAAAATAGCAAAAAATCGATAATATTCGCAATAAAAAACAATTTTATTTATCGCAGAGTAAATATAAAAATTATTTTTTAATATTTACTTATCTATTAATGAAACAGTTTTTTCTTGCGAACGTTAGCAATTTTATGTTAAGAAAAGTAACAATGATATGAAAAGAACTGCTAATCGTAATTTTTACTATTTATCGGATGCCCCTAGATAGGGACCAATGAAACAGAAAAATCATTCATATAACAGCTAACAGAGCCCCACCACCCCGATAGCAACCGAGTTGCTGATATTTTCTGTCACAACGAAAAACATTGTAACGAGAATCGAATAATTCCGTATCTAAAAAGTCTGAGTCAAGTTCGATGCATAGTTTTTGCTTTAAAAAATTAAAGTAATTTTATTTCAGGGTCAAATCCTAAAAATCTGATGTGGTGGTTCATTAAGATATAATTAGGGTTTATTAAGATCCATAATAATAACGGAGTTGAATACACGTTATTTTTCAGAAAATTTTACCAACCTTATTTCAAAAGTCAAGATGTTTAGAATTTAGAACATTATCTGAAGTTTTTTTCTTAGAATATGACCAAGAATCGTTCCCTTCAATATTAGCATGTCATTAAGGAACACCCTGTATAAGAACAACTTTTGATAGAAGACTCATTTTTATTTCAAAGGTTGCATTATAATAATAAAAACAATTCAGTGGCGGCTCGTCAGGGTAGGCAAGGTACTAAGATTTTGGCAGAATTTAAGCGATTTATTATATTACATTATTGACTATTATTGTTGTCAATACATAAAAATACGGTTAATACACGGAAGTGTGTTTTAATAATCAATATTATTTTAATATTTGTGGTCTTGTATATTAACATATTCACTACCGCTGGCGTACGCTGACCGCTGACTGTGCCGCTGCGTTAGAAAACAAAATAATTTTGACCGTTGGAGTGCCTTTGTTCGGCGATTTCTATATCGCCTACTATCAGAGTCGATGCACAACGTACGGCAGTATTCTGTCTCTGTCTAACTCATCATGCGGTAGCGACGCGACGTAAGTTGGAGTTGTATCATATTAAGGCAGGGCTTAGGCGAAATCTCCGGTCGCCTTCGCATGAAGTCGTGGAGGCTCGGTAGGCTTTGATATTAAGGGGATATTCCGGATATTTCATAAGGAGATATATCGCATTTCGTTAAGGGGATATTTTATATGATTCATTATACGTAGCATTTTAAACTTTTATACGAAAATTCAAAAAACGTTTAAAGCAAATTGGAAACATTTTTCGGGCTTGTTCGAAATTATTAAAAATGATATAACCGGTTGTATTTCAGAACACGCCACAGAAATATAAGAATCCGAAATAAAAAAGCGCGTTATTTTATTCGGTGCAAGAAGACAATACAACAGATATTACAGAAAAGTCTCTGTGCTGTTTCAATTCGATATGTTAATAAAAGCGGCTAAGTCAAATATCTTTGCGAATTTTATTTTACGAAATATTAGACAACATTGTTATACATTTAGAAATAAGGTTTGCAGATAGGTACTCGTATGTCTCAATTATTTTTATTTATCTCTTCCGGATCCGAAATTTAAAGAATCCTATAAAATTTCCAAAGCATTTAACATCTCATTTAACAAACTTGTTATATTGATACACTTCCAACTTCCAACGCATTTAATAGTGATTTAACAAACAAAAAATGTTATTGACCAACATAAATTAATGAATAAATTGCAGGTATTAATAATAAATGTGATAATTTCGAGCATAAAATAATTTAAGGAGAATAATCCTGGAAATATATTTCCAGAGTCTTTCAAATTGTTTGTTTTGTTTGTTACTACGCCATTTACAAGGAGGTACTTGAGTTGAGGGATATTTTTCATTTTTGAAATGCATTAAAATTTATAGTAGAGATTCCATGAAAAATAAACGTTTATCGCCACTTGGCCTTACTTTCAATCTAAAAAGATCTTTTCACAGCTCTTCAACTTTAGGTTAGGCAACTTAAAATTTTGTCGCCTACCCAGTCACACGGATCACGAGCCGCCACTGAAACAATTGTTAGATATTTTTTCTCCATAAAGTAATTTTTTATGGGTTTTCTCATCAACATATTTCGGTTAGTTTCATATCTAATTCATACTTTAAACACAATTTCATTTTATTTATTTAACAATAGAATAAATTATTTTATATATCCTTGAACATCTCCAGAATAGAATTACTTTTTCTTTTCATATTTGCCTTAAAAATGCAGTCGTAATTACAAAAACAATTGTTGGGTAAATAAAATTAATTTATTGACTTTACAAAATAGTATTTTATTGCCCTGTCAATACGTAGTTGATAAAATTTATTATTGCTTCCAGCAATAAGACGAGGTAAACCCGGTATTGTAATACAATACCAAAAAAACTACTTAAAACAATTAATTATCGCATATTTTCTAAAAAAAAATATTAATTTGAAAAAGAAGACACTTTGAATTCCCTAACTTACGGTTTTAAATAGTTTGGATACTGTGAAGGGAAATCCAAAACAATAAGCCTACGCGTTTGTTGACTTGTAATTTTTAGTCGGCCGACTATTTAATTGCAAAAGTCAAAACAATACATACTTATGGAACCGATCGGCCGATTGCATGTAAGCGCGGCTCCATAAGGATATATTGATTACAAATATGCAACTAAATAATCGGCCGATTAAAAATTGCCTGTCAGTGTATAGCTTAAGGCTACGCAATGCAATCAAATATTGGGCCGATCGGCTCCATAAGAATGTATTGTTTTCAGTTTTGCAACTAAATAGTAGGCCGACTAGAAATTACATGTCACGTTAGAATTATCCTAAAAAAAACTCACAAGAGAAAGGCAGAAAAATGCATGCTTCATTTAGAAATATGTAATAATTACTTTTATTTAAATAATATGCGATAATTGTTTTTAGTAGTGTATTAAAAACAAACATAGATGCTGAACTTGATATACCTACACATATGTCCAAAATTATTGCATATGATTGGTGGGTAAAATTAAAAGACGTTTCAGGAAATATTAACTTATGAAGTTAATCATGACTTAGTTTAGATCACATGAGAAATCTATTTCTGTATTATAAACTTTTATTACAACTAAATTTAATATATAGTAGAAAATTAATTTATAATAAATATATATATTTTTTGCACTGATAAATACTATGAAGCCTCCCTTGGATATTACAAGTAGCAGTTAGTCTCTTAAAAGATCTCTATTTGTCGAAGAAGTCGAATTTGCTAAACAAAATCAGCGTTTTATTTTCAAAGGCTTTTTCAGGCTCAATGTAACATGACTTCGTCTGATAGCGACTTTGAGACTCTTTATATGTAGTCTTGTGCTTATTAGGTATTAAACATTCAGTGCAGGAAAAATTAAGTGGAAAAAATTAACAGTAGGTTTTTTATTCATTTTAGTAACAAGTTGGTGTTTTTCAAAAACATAAGAATCCGAGAGTTTAAGTATATAATTGCGAAGTTCAAAGGAGAAAGCCTAATTCTCTATTACAGTTGGAGGTTGGAACCTACAAAACAGCACAATAAAGCACTAATTTACCACAATACAGCGCTTTTACTTTTGCTCTGGATGCACGTTTCGCTATCCATGTTCGCATCATCAGCAGATGATTAAAACCAAAGAAAAAAAAATCGTGGGTGTTTGGGAAGGCTTGAAAGGAAACAATTATGTTTTTGCGACGTTTCGCGACTTTATTGTCGCTATTTCAGGCACTCTAGGAGAAGCAGTTTTTTAAAAAAATAACAAAATAAAATTAACTAGTCACTTACCCAAAACATAAATATATTAATTCATATGCCTACAAACATTCATGGCAATTCCAACCGCCAAAACATAATTGATTAGAAGTGAAACGTCGCGAGTCGCGAAACGGCGCAAAAACATAATTGTTTCCTTTCGAGCCTCCCAAACACCCACGATTTTTTTTATGCGTATTAACTACTGGAAACTAATAATAATCATAATTAAAACTAAACTAATGTCTACAAAATGAGCCTTTATATTCCCACTCAGTTGGCACCGAGTAGGCGTGGCGAAGAACTAGCCAAAGAAGTTAAAACCAACCGAGCGTAACAATTAATTATCAAAACTAGAGCAGTAGGGACAGGTAGGGACAGAGAACTGGAAGAAATTGGACCATTGTCTTATGTTCATACTATCTTTATATTTATTAATTTTGACGCACTCATATGCATCTAATTGTCTGTAATTTGAGACCTGTTTAAACTTGTGTATAGTGCTAATAATAAATTACAACAATTATTATACAACTACAGATAAAACACATCCACTGGAAAGGAAAGGTGGGGTATTTATGAAATTTCATGTAAAGATTGTAAATATCAGAATCAGCATCAGAAATAAAAATGTTGGGTAAACTAGAAGATCAATATTAACTAGATTTAAAGAATATATAGCTCAGATAAGATATGGCAGACCGGATAAATCTTGCGTTGCTGAACTAATTAAACAGGTATCAAATTACAGGCAATTAGATGCATATGAGAGCGTCAAAATTAATAAATGTAAAGATAGTTATTTATTATTATTCATTAACAGTTTTGGTGTATTGTGGCAAACTAGTGTTTTATTTTGGTTCACTCCATATATTAAAATTTATTTTAAAACTAGCTGTAATTCGAAGTCGGTTAGAAAAGTTCCCCAGTTATTATCAAATTCAGAGAGCGAGGTCAGATTGTTACCCTTAAGAGGCGGCTATTACACTATAAAATGTCTTTGTTAAAGATTTTATTTAAATTATATTTTATGAAGAATTTGATAGTGTAATATGTCTGATTTTATTAAATATTGTATTTAACACTATCAAATTTTTCATCAAATATCTTTTATAAAAGATCTTTGACAAAGAAATTTGATAGTGTAACAGTAACCTAATCGATCTGGGGTGGAACTCTGTAACTAAATAGCGATTGGTAGCGATGAAGAATACTGTCGCTTTCCGTTTAGTTTCTATGGCCAAGGTCAGTATTCTTCATCGCTACCGATCGCTATTTAGTTACAGAGTTCTACCCCTGGATGCATTAATATTTTGATATTCTATGCACTAACCTAACTTTTAGGTCACTGATTCTATGCTGATGGCAATAGTGTTCGCTCTAAAACAGAACATAATTGAGATTAAAAGACGTTAATACGATCTAAAACATACATAGATTTATATGAAAAAAAATTGTAGTAATTTTTGCTACAATAGATTACAGTACTTACCAGTCCTACTATTTTTGATAGTTCTACGGCTTCTGGCTCTATGAGGGCAATATATGCCTGAAAAATCCATATTGGTCCAAGAATTTTTCCGAATTTGTATTATTAGACATTACGAAGTGTCGTGTGAGGTTAGGTTAACAACAGTCACCATTTTCTTAATTATGCAACAGAAATATTCTTTTTGTAGTAATGGAATGCTAGGATTTTTGACATAACTCTTATTATTATAACTCTTATTTATTATTAATATTCAGCTTGAACTTTTTTTCTAGATACTCTTCTGTTAATAATCTAAACTTATTAAAAGAAGAAAGTTAAAACTAACCCGTTAACATACATCGGAATCATTCGGAATAATGAATCTATTATTAGTAATCGACCAATTAGATTGTAAGAAATCTAACTTTTTCTAAAAATACAAAATCGTAGCGCAGGGGAATACGGGGACGGTGAAAATGCCTTCGCCCTCTAGAGAGTCTCTAATAGAGACCGAAACTAACAGATACAATTAATTGAAACTGCATATCTAGGTTTATTTATAATCGAGGGTTTGAGGATATTGAAACATTGGAAGGAAACATTTTTGGACATGTCTATATAAAATTTTCGTGACAGAATCACTCAAAATCTTTATTTAAATACCTAGCCTATTGAAATTTGGCTAGGAATTTAAATAAAACGCTGAATATAATACGCAATCTAATTAATAATTACTTACTAGCCGTGTGTTTGGTAATTATACAGTTGTTCCCTAACAGTAAAACGTCTTTCAGATGCATCGATCTCCTGGCTAAGCCTAGTAACAAATGTTCCCCTGCGTGTGCCCTTAACAAAGCAACCTGTAAAGAAAAAAAAGATAGAATGATGATCCTACAACCACAAGTTATGTACAAAGCGATCCAAAATAGTTGATTGAAATAGTTGGCTATTCTGATTTTGCTCATTTGGTTATTGGCAATAAATTTAAGAAATTCAAATATTTATCTGCTGTTTATCATCAGCGGCAAAACAAACGAACAAGTAAATAATATGATTAATTTCTTAATGAGATGAAAAATAAATGGATTTAATCTGAAGCTTTTCTAATTTAATTTTTGAATGAGCCTCTCAAAATATAGGTTAGGTTACGTACACGTTTGACAATAAAACGCACATTAACCCTTAACCACAGAGTTGCGGTCTGTCAGACCTTTAGCATGTTGCAACTTTTTATATACACCCACCCGTGCGCCCTTTCAGCGGCACGGTGTGATCTACCTTTCCTTTCCTCAGTAACACCTCGACAGCCGACAGGTTATTATATTGTTTTTAGTAGTGCTATTGTTATACCCATTTAAAACTTGAACGCGGTCCGAGAGACCTGCCGTCTGTGTAAGTGTAACAAATTGTATATTTAAAATATTTGCCAATTGCATGAAATGTTGCATTTTTTGGTACAAATATGGATTCTTTACGGGGAACATCTGCCTCAGTTCGCTGTGGTGATGTAATGCACAGATCCACGGGTCTCCTGGGAAGTTAGGGCATACATAAGGCGTGTATTGAAAGCGAATGAAGAATTTCAGGTTAATGATGATGAAGAAGAAGGAAATCTTAAAAAAAGAAAACCTTGTTCCACGTGCCCATCTGACGACACAGAAAGACGGCATACTTCTGTTATGCTTGTAAAAGGTCCATTTGCCTTGAATGTTCAAGACATGTATTTAAAATATGTTCTTCATAATCCTCAAATTGTAAATTGCCCTTTTTTTTGTTTTTAAATATTTATCATATAAAATTATTTTTTTGTGTTGCCTTATGCTTAAATAATGATATTTTTTTAAATATATAGTTACCTAAATAAATATTTGCCTTTAGCTTATAAAAATGTTTAAGTATGTAAAAATTTGGGATTTTTACAATATTTCATAATAAAGATTTACCATATCTGGCTTTAATTTATCAGTATAAATCCTACAGAGGTTATGTTTAGGTCTATATTTGACAAAACAAAAATAATATTAGATATAAAAAAGTTGCAAGCACTAATTACAATGACCAAAAAACAGGTCTCTCAGACCTCACCTCTGTGCTAATGCGACTAGGTTTCATAGACTGGTTTTGTCCCAAAAAACTGTTACAAGGTATGCCATATAAAGATAGGTTCATATATACACGCGAATTGCGAACTGCGAATATCTCAAAATAAAAGCGTCTTTTATTTACATAGTTCATATAATAACGAAATTCGCAATGAATTCTAGGGATATTTGTGTCTTTAAACACATGTTGAAAATATTATTTGAGTAAAGAATTTTATTTTTGTCTCCAGTTTTTCGTCACGGTGCACAGTGTTGCGAAAATGGTCATTTTGGGACAAAAATCCTAGAGTCTTCAAATCAGTCTTTTTAATTCATTTTGGCACAAAATATAAATAAATAAACATATTTATTAATATTGCAATGAATAAATTTTAAATGAAACTTAAGAATTACAAAAATAATATTAACATAAATAAAACTAATATAAAACCAAAAAAAATACAGTCTGATTCAAAATACGTACACAGATTTTAAGCGGGCGTATTCACGAGAACACTAAGAAAAATATTTCATACAATCGTTTGTTCTAACTTGCTTCGTTTTCTAGATACAAGGTGTATTGCGTCAAAAAGTGCATGTTAGTAGCAGCAACGGAGCACAGATTTATAATGTCCAAATATAAGGCTATTTATATACAAAATCTGTTCGATGCGTTTTTTACGTTTTTTTTAAAGCTTACTTAAAGTTTGATACTTTATTTATAATAATAATTAATACACTTACCTTCACTAACAGCAAACATAGCAAAATAAAACTTATATAAATGCTATTAAAGAAACAATCTGCTACTAAAGTGACAGCGAAAAACGTTCAACACTTAATGCTATATTGAGTAATTTTATTATAGAAATATAAACAAATTTTTGTGACCTGTAGGCATTACTGGTAATTTTGCTTTGATTTAATAAGTACGGATATTTTACTGCTAAAATAACACATTTTTTAAATTCGAATTTAAATTTGGATTTTCGTATTTTTGTCCATGGACCGTAACACTGTGCTGCGCCGTGATAGCATATACATACGTTTATTTTTATAACTATATTTTTTTGTGTATAGGACGAAGCTACTTATTTTTGGCATAGAAGACGATCTATTGCTGTATATTTATTAATAAGAAAAACAACAAAAATAAAATACATAGAAGAACTGGAACATGTGAAATATTTAAAAAGTGAAAACAGCAAGGAGCATATCACAATTTAGTGTAATAAATGAGAATTAACGATAAAAAAAATCGAAACTACCACAGAATTTCTAAAGGATTTCGATTCTCGATGGTTTTGAAAATTTTCCAACATTACCAGTTTGCAGTCAAAACATTGAACTTTCATACTACAAAATAAAAAAAAATGAAATTAGACTGTAAAAAAATGAAGTACCTAATAATGATTATGTCTAATTGGTTCATACCTTTTTAGTTTCTTCCATCTTAATCAATGTTTATATTATTATAACCATAACAAAAAATAAATAATAAAGTAAATTCTTTTCGCAGTCTTTCTTTAAATAAGTGTTTTCGATAAAATGTAGTGAGTGGAGAATTATAAATAAGTGGAATTTTAAACTGGAATAACAAAATTTTACAAAATTTATATTTTTACCTGTTTTTACCGTCAAATGTAAAATTTAATCTGTCAACAGTTGTCAATTTATATTTTATTTTGCCCGTTATCCGTAGATCGTGTTTTAAATTTTTTTTTTGATTTGTATACGGCTCTGTCCTTGTGTTTTTTCATTTTTTTTAAATGTAGACAATGGTTTTTAAGTGTTGTGTTACTGGCTGTAAGAATTACCAAAAAGATGCCCAAATGCATATGTTTCCGAAGGAACAAACAGTAAGTGTTAACACGTGTTACATAGTATAAACCAAGATAGTTTCCCTTCCTTTAAGATTGTTAATTAATTGTAAAATAGGTTGCCTTAATTGTTATAGATCTAGATAGTTTTATTATTATAATGTTTGTTGTTTTATTTATCAGTTAGGGCTTTGTGCTTGCGAAATGACTAATTACGACCTTTTTGGAGGGGTCAGAAATTTTTTATCCCGGAAAATGTCAAAAATCTGTCAAACATCTATAATCATGTTTTTTTACCTTTCCTAAGCGATAACCATAGACTAATGTCATGTACTAGAGATAGATTGGACACTGATATAAAACAAATGGGTCCGTCATTTAGAGCCACCTGGTGATCCGGAAGAAACTAATGGAGAGTTTTGGCATAACATAATTTTAGCGTTCCTTATTACTTATTAACGCTAACTAACACGGTAACGTTATTCATGCTCAAAATTACTCCTTGTAAAATATAAACTAATAAATATAGACTTTTTTGTTGCCATTTTATGTTTTATTAGATCATTAGAAGTGTAACATAACTAAACAAAATTAAAATATATACATGCATTTTAAACACCAACAATAGAGCACATAGCGCCTATTTTTTGATTTAACAAATAAATTATATATAGCAAAAATATTATAGACTACTAATTAACTGTTACAAAAAATACTATATATTACCAACTATGTAATTACTTATTTATGATTAAACTATTTTTTTTATTTGGTTCATAAATTTATACTTTCTAAAATGTCAGAATGACTTTAATAAAAAAGTTTAGTATCTAACACGAAAATGATGATCGACTCTAAATATCAGAATGCACAAACTAATAAAAACACAAACTATAAACACAAATCACTGAAATCACCGAACTTTCCGATAAATCAGGAATACCTATCTGAATTAATGATTATTTAAATAATGATCAAAATAATGATTTAAAAATAACTTGACGGATCACCAACATTTTGTCAAAATGTCAACATGATGTCAATATTAATTAATAATTGTTAATATATTATATTAACAATTATTAATATATTATATTAACAAATAGAAAACTACTTAAATAGAACGGTTTTGATATTATATTAATGTTTTTGATATGTGATAAAATAGGAAAAAAGGACAAACATCACAAATTAACATCTAGACAAACAACAGGTATCGTATGTTGTAAACTATTTTCCTAAGTTTTTTTAATGAATTCATTGATATGATTAATTAATAAAATTGATATGTTCGCTAAAATTCCAGTCAGTATTTCTTTTGCCAATAGGGCTGAATAATTTCTCATAAACCAGAATAATATTAATTATTCTTATTTACCTTAAACCTTTAATGCGTGAGACACAAAAAAATGGAAATCAAAAAATGATTGAATTATTTAATAAAAAAATAGATATGTATTTATTAAAGTTTATAACCGTTTATGACCATCAAAAATCGTACATTTCTATTATTATATATTAAAGTTTATTTTTATTACGGTGGACTCTGACGACTCATGTACTTGTACAAACATTTGTTATTTGGATATACTTGCCATGTGGTGCGAGTGGTTATCTTGCGCAATTATTTATCACTCGCCGCGTAGCGTGAGCACCAAGCTTGTTGCAAAATATGTTGTTTACAAAGATAGTATACTTGTCAAGTACGCAAATATTGGCGTACTTGCCAAGTACACGAGTCATCAGAATTCAGAATCCTAAATACCACAACGTTTGTTTATATAATCCCCAAAAAAATGAAAACTAAATTAACGACATTTTTAATTAAGAAAGCATACTATACATTGGATGAATTTTTCGCTGACTTAGATAACCATTTTTTATATCTCTTCCCGCTTTTATTGTTTGGGAAATGTTGTGCTATTTTCTTGGGTGCTTTTTTAAAATAATTATAGTTTT